CACACACACACACACACAGAACAAAATCGAGAAGGCTGCCTGAGCATCAAGGGCCATGTTTAGAGCTGCGCTGACTGCACTGCAGTATAAAGTGAGATGGTCAAGACACTTTTCTTCTGTTACTTCTTTTTTTTTTTTAATTTATTTTATGTACATTTGTGAGAAGGTGTCAGATCCCCTACAACAACTGGAGTCACAGACAGCTGTGAGCTGCCATGTGGGTGCTGGGAATAGAACCCAGGTCCTCTAGAGGAACAGCTAGTGCTCTTAACTACTGAGCTATCTCTCCAGCCCCTCCTTTTGTTACTTCTACTGTCACCTGCCATTTAGTAGTGGCTACCTCTAGAAAATGTACCACAGAAGTCTGAGATCCCAAGAAAGGACATCAAGAATTCAGAATCCACTTCTACTGACAGTTGAAAGACCTCTGAGTAGCCCCTCTTATTGTGGGGATACCATTCCTGTCCTGTCATTCCTGCCCGCAGCAAAGAGCATGGTCCACAGACAGAACACACAGGCCTTGGCACCACTCACCTAACTCAAACGTCATGTGGCCATCCCTCACTAACAAAGGAGAAAACTATCCAACAGATCATGGACCCCAAAAGAGTACCCAACAAGCAGAGGGGAGGCACGCAGCAGTGCATGTTAGCACTCTTTCCGCTATGACCTGGCCCGGGGGGGGGGGGGGGGTCACGTGATGCTAGTGAAGCCATGTGGCCCGGCCGCTCATCTTCCAGGTACACTGATGTGAAGTATGAACGGAACAGCAAAGTCAGCCACAGCTTCACACACCCCCCCCCCGCCCCACCAACCACAGAGGATCCTGGGGAGCCGTGCCGGTCCCCTCAACCGCACCCTAGCACAGAGCCAGTGCTGTCAATGTCATGAAGAAGCACACCACTTTGCCCCAGCAGGTCCTCAATGAGTAACCCACCTTCTGGTGCTGATGGTGAGGTCACCCATCAGCTACAATGCTACAAAGTTCCAAAAACCGACAGAACAAGACCAGGGAACTCTATGATGTGTCTTACAAAACTACCCCAACAGACTTCCCTGCAGGCAAAGACAAGGTGCAAAACTGTAGCACAGAGTTCTACTGCTTATCCTTGTTGTCCCGAGACAAGGTTCCTCTGTGGAGCCCTGACTGGCTGGGCTGGCCCTGAACTCAGAGGTCCACCTGTCCGCCTCCAGAGTGCTGGGACTGAAGGTGTGCACTACCACGTCCAGCTCCATCCACACTTTATAGAGGAAGGATGGCACTTTGCTGGGAAGCTGCTCATGGTCCATCTCAGGATGCCTAAGAAATGGGCATCACCAACTTGGCTCCAAAACCAAAAGACGGGCAGGGGATGGAGAGGACCTTGGAGGAATCTCTCAGCTGGCGCTCCTCTCATTTGAACTTCTGAATCAGGAGGATGCTTTACCTTATCAGAATAAAAGCAATGAATCAGGAGGATGCTTTATCAGAATAAAAGTGCTTTAAAAAAAAAAAATTAGGGGCTGGAGCAGGGGCTCAAAAGTTCAAAGCACTGGCTGCTCTTGCCAAGGACCTGGATTTAGTTCCCAGCACCCATACGGTGGCTCTCAACCATTTGTAACTCCAGTTCCAGAGGTCCAGCGCCCTCTTCTGGCCTCTGTAGGCACTGTATACCATAGTGCACAATATACATTCAGGCAAAACACCTGTAACATAAAACTGTTAAAAACCCAACTTCTAAAGGAAAGCTAAAATATAAATTAGACATTTTTTTTCTGACTTTATACAACCAAAGAAATACTGGTAAATTCTTGTGGCCACCAGCCTTGACCTCCAAATCAAGCCTGGGAATAACCGTCCCATGGGAGTCCAGATGTGCTGAGCACTAACTCTCTAAGGCCTTCCGCATGCACCACAGAGGACAGCCTGCTCTCAAGCTCAGGCAGATCACCTTTGTAAATGGCTTATTAAGAGTTTAGTCACTTGACGGGCCAGTGTGGAGAAATGCCAGAGACACACTGATGTGGTGAGTATTCGTGACGACCACATGACAGGCTGGCTGGTTTGTGGGGTGGATGGAGTGTGGATGCTGAAACACCATTACTCAATGCTCATGCAGCTGTGGTGCCTGTAAAATACCAGTGTGGTCAGCATGTGGTAAAACGCATTGTCCAGTGACCAGGAACAGCACCCCTGGACACGTCGACAGAGAGTTACAGAGTTTTACTCCTGACTAAAATCCATCTCAGCATTTGGACTTCAGTGTGTCCTCATCAAGGCTCAAACAGTCAAGTATAGTTAAGCCCCAGGTACAAATGTTCCCATAAAAGCCTTCATCTGAGTCCCAGTTATAGAGGCCAGAGGCACAGACACCCCCACAATGTGTGCACAGCTCCAGGCAGACCTGCTGCTAGGCAGCTCACAGCAATCTAATAAATGGCACAGTGGCTTGCATTGCCAAGTTGAATGCACATGGCCAAATCACAGTGTTCACAAACAGCACTGAACCTCCATGACACGGTTTAACCATCACATACCAGTAACCATGATTAATACCCAGTGCTTCGAGGAAGCAGAAGACACAGTGAAGAAGAGGAGATGCTCTGTGAAACTAAAGAACAGGGCCGACGGGGCGCCTGGTCCTTGTCTCCCTCCCCAAGTGGTGGCATTGATGTTGGGGGAACATCACCATACTGAGGTACGCAAATCTGCACGTCTGACTGCTCCTGTCAGCATGTAAACTGATGGGCTCAGTGACACTTGTGTGATCAACACACCTCCATGCCTTACTTTAAAAGAGCAACCAAAACTAGTGAGCAATGCGCAGGGTGGGACATGTTTAAGCATGAATTTTAAAAAAGCGAATTTCTTACTGAGCTGACTGTACAGTCAGTGCTTTCCACTGGGTCGGGAAGTCTGTGAGTGGAGGGGTCAGTGCAGCTGTGACAGCTAAGGAGCAGGACCTTAGGAGTAACACGGCAGAGAAGAGGAGCAGAGTCGAGGGCGCAGCTCAGTGGCAGAGCCCATGCTTATTAGCAAGTAGAGCCCTAGGTACCGAAAGAGAGAGAACGATTAAAAATACCAAGACTTCAAACAGATGAGGATTAATGTTGCCAGCACTTGACTTCACTGAGAGCACTAAAAACAAATGAGGTAATAAAACTGAGGGCAAAAGAGACAAAATGAACCATCAAGTCCTTCCTCTAGAAACCAGAGTCTTTTCAGAGTGGAGGAAGGAAACCTCGGACAGCTGGGACAGAGAAACAGGTCCCTCCTCCTTGCCCCTGCCTGGGAAGTCACTCCGGCTGCTGTCTTCCCATCAGGTTTCCCAGCTGTGATCCAGAAGGAGTGTCTGTTCTGGCACGTGGACTGATCCAACACAAAGTGCTGCCTTGCAGAAAGGCTTTTGCAGCCACTGACCAGTCTTCTTGTTTGTCTAAGTAGAAGCCCGGATGCTTCCGCTTTTGAGTACTGCCCCAGTGGCACCTAACAAATCAGTATCTGACCCCACAGTTCACATATACTGGGAAATGAAAAGCAGAAACACCATGGGAGCCTGGGTCCAAGTGTGAGCAGCAGAGAAGAGAGAATCGCACCAGGGCTAGCAGAGCAGCACTGACGTGAACCAGTACTCTTCTCCACGGAGCCGAGCAAAGCTCACTCTGACATCCAAGGGCACAAGGCACGCATGTGGTGCACAGAACACAGGCAGATAAACGACTCTCACATATAAAATATATTAACCTAAAAAATGTCTGAGAGAGAGGCACAAGGAGATCTAGGCAACTTGGCTTGAGGGGACAGGGCTACACACCTTATGTGCTGAGTCTGCCTCTCCAATCCACACCACAGATGTGTAGGAAAGGGAACTCCTTCATTAGAAGGAGCCCTAGGCTCAGATGTTCCTTCCCAGGAAGACCCTGACTGCCAGTGAGGTCAAGAGCAGGCAAACCAGAAGGATCCTAAACAAATGAAAGCTCACCAGCCTCCCCTGAATCTTCCCATCAGCCAGCTTTAAGACGGAGGACTTGGCCGGCAGTTGGGAGGAAAACCCTGCAGTGCTAAAACACAGTCATCACCCGAGAGTTAGCGAAGACTGTCTTCCTGTCTGCTCACATCAGCGGGCACTTTCATGCAGCTAATAACTACAGAAACTGTAATGGAAAATTTTCATTTCATTTCCTGACTTCATCGCATTATTGTGTGCATGGGACACATAAGCCATGGCACATGAGTAGAGGTCGGAGGATAATTCTGTGGAGTTTGCTCTTCTCATTTCAGGGACAGAAGTGGGGTCATCGGGCTTGTGTAGTAAATGTCTCTACTTGCTAAGCTGTCTCACTGGCTACCTACACTGTGATGCATATCCTAAAGACAGAATGCACAAGGATGTCTGCAAGTCGCAGTATGTGGTGTAGCACTCCCCGAGGTAACCCAAACAGTGAGGGTGGAATACATACATGTACATCAGTGAGAGCATTGGCTACACAGCCTATATGAGCTCTAAGCACACGATGGAACTCTAGGGCAGAGAGCTGGGCCATGAGATATGAAACACTGTCTGAAGCACATTGCTGAGTAAATGCTAGGCACAGAACAGGGTGCATACCACGACCCCATGTCTGCAAAGACCTGCCCCTTGTCGACAGATGTGTCTAGATATGAAGACACTGGGAAATCACTAATAATCTACTGTGTGCAGTGGAGGAGAAAATCTTCACTCATGTTCCGTTCACTTGCTTGATTCTTTTCTGCCATGCTAGTCCACTGTCCTAACAGCTGGAAACAAGAGCATCAAGAGTGCAGCAGCCAGGCATGGTGGTGCTCACTGCTATTCCGAGCCCTCGGGAAGAGATGGGGCACAAGGCTACATAGTGAGTTCAAGGCCAGCCTGAGATAGCGAGACCCTACTTCAAGTAACCAAGCTAAACCAGAACAGGAAGAGCTTAATGTTTCAGCTGCATTTAACAAATTAACCCCATGCTTTTTCTTGCTAGTGTACAAGCCACTGTTTCCGTACCTTGTTTCCTTCATACACCCATCCCAGACTCTTCACCCCAAAGGCAACCTGGCTGGCTGAGACATCCAGACATGTGGCAGGCTGGCCGTAGACATAATGGAGGGTTCTGGCTGAGTCCTCAGCCTTCAGCAGGTACACCAGGTCCCCAGCTGTGGCTATTGCCACAGGGTACCTCCCAGTATCTGGAACTATTTCCAGGTAGTCAACCTGCAAAGAGAGGAGTTGTTTAGTTACTCACAGTCATCTTGATTTGGTCATGAAAGGAATTTCCCTTGTACATCTAGAGGGCAGAGGCCCAGCTCACAGAAACAGTTGGGCATAGGTATCATTTATTTACAGGGATGAACATGGCTCCTGACCAGATGAAAAGATGCCTGTAACAGCAGAAACACAACACACTCTGAGAAGGAAAGGAACAAAGCAAAGACCACGGAGACACCATTTTCCACCTGCCGCCCCAAGAGGACCAGGAAGCCAGAGGTCACAGAGTTAGAGGTGAACAGGGAACGTAACCCAGTCTGACTCCTATTCAGGAAAGACTGGCAACACCTCCCATAGTGCCAAGCTCACTCTGACCCTCAGGAGGTCCGTCTAGCAGTGCTGACAGATACCCGCACAGCAAAGGGCTGTGCATGGTGTTCACTGCAGGGCCGCTCCTGTCACTGTGCAGACATGATACAGCCATGCAGCAAATGCCCAACAACCACAGGAGAACCTGAAGGCTTCTTTATCATCCAGTGGGATCACAATGGAGATGGAGCAAAGGAACTACCCCAAAATTTGGGCAGATGGGTGGAACCATAAGGCTCAGGTAGGGGTGTGTCTTCAAGGGTTGAAACAGGCTGTGAGATGGAAAGGCAGTTTCTGGCTGTTAGTTTTACTGGGTCTTTTAAATCCTGAATACAGTAGTATTTAGAGTAATCCTTATTTTGTTGTTTTACCAGAAATTGAAAAAGTAAGACTCCCAGAGTTCCAAATGAAGAAGAGCATCTGAAAACTATGTGTAAGTACCACAAATGCATCACGAGAAGACCCAAGCTGCTCTTAGCACTCTCCTGTCAGCCTGTCAGGCAGTGATCGCCCTGTGCCACGGGACCACCTGAGGACAGAGACCAGGACGGACAAAACATGCTCCTGTCATGTCAGCATTTTCTCTGACTGCACAGGGAAGATCCCCAGTTAGGGTGACCCGATCCCCACAGCAGTCTATTTCAGGCACACCTGCTCAGTAATCACAGAGTGTGGATGCTGAGGGTAAGTCACTGTGGAATCATGAAACCCCATGGTGTGGAGGACAGCATCGCCCAGACAGTATGCCAGAGGCGCTAAAGCCCACGCTCTGCAGGCTGCCCTGGGGAGCTGAGCACAAGCAAACATCCGGTGCCTCTGCTAATCTTGGGCCCAAACTGTGCCGAGGCAGCCCAACATCTTGGGCTGCAGGTCCATCACAAAGGCCAGCTGCTCCAGGCTAGACTGCAGACCTGGGAATGGTGCCACTGTTATTCAGGAAGCACAGCTAGGGAACAAAGATGATCCGGCTCCATGGGCAGGGGTGCCTGATCCAGGGATGCCCAGCGCATACTGTGACAACTTGGCATCCAGACGGGCAAACAATGCCGAGAGTTGACACATCCTCAGCAGGGCTGCCCACTTTCTCTCTCTAAAGAAAATCCATTTCTTAGTTTCTTAAAACAGACGCCTTTCTGGTAGCCATTTAACTTCATCTTCCGGTTGGATTTCTAGCAGGCCAAGAGGCTCAGATTGGCAGTGGCCACCATTCGCTGGGAAGTGTAAATGACCCCAAAAGCTTCCAGTCAGCCCCAGGATGGCACCTGACTGCCAAGGCAGGATTTACTCTTCATGAGGGGTGCTCAGCTTGCATAGCTGTGGCTAGTCCACAATATTAGCCCTGCACTCCATGTCTCTCTGGAGGCCCCAGGATAGGCTGACAGTGCAGGTCATGTTCGAGGAACACTGCATGACAGCCACAGAGCTTATCTGCAGCAGCAAGCAGCTCAGGGAGGTGAAGCCCTGATGCCAGGTGCTTGCTATTCAAATCTAAGATTCCCACAGGGAAAGGGAGGGGGAGTTGGTTCCAAGTCGCCATCAATCCTTGATCAAGGCTGGCTCTTCTGTTTCTCTGGCTAATGCCAAAATGAAGTGTGCACAAATTAAATTCAAATTCAGCACAGACGAGTACTGCCTTATCACCAAACCATCTCTGCATGGTGGACAAGATCTGTGTACAACTGAGGTTGTTAGAGCCCTGAGCTGGCTCAGTTTTATTTGCACCCCAGAGCCTGGTTCGCAATCCACACTGCCTTCCATGGACTTCACTCAGGGACAAGAGTGTGGGACGAACATGCCCTTCCACACAGACTGCCACGCACCACTGCCGTTCACTTAGGCGTTGGGACAGAAACGAAGCTCAGGTCCCAGGGTGCGTCTGCTGTGCTAGCCGGAAGGAGGCAGGAACCATGGTAGAACAAACCCTGAACCAGCTCCATGTCTGCTTGTGTTGCTGTGTAATTTTGTTTTAGAAGTGGGGCTAGGGGTGGGGAGATGGCTCAGCAGGAAAGAGCTTATATTGCTTCTTGAAAAGGGCCTGAATTAGATTCCCAGCTCACAACCACTTACACATCCAGCTCCATTATCCAACACCTTTGACCTTCTCATAAGCACATACCCGCACACACAGAGGAGGAGGGGCTAGACCCCTGGGCTTCATGTACATTAAGTAAATGTTCTACCATTAAGCTATAGCCTCAGTCCCACACTTGGAGTTGAGTCCCAACTTCGCAGCTCAGATGCAAAGGCGGGTCTGTCCACCACTCTGAGCCGTTCCTGACTTCCTGGGATTGAAGAACATTCTATCACCCACTTCAGTGGGCTGTTGAGAGTTTGACAAACTGAAGCCCCAGGCATCATTGCTATCTGTTTTATTAGACCCAGGGATTATCAGAATGCAAGTTAACAAACATCCTAAGAGCTCACCAGTTTCTGAACTTCAAATTCCGCAGCTACATGCCAGTACCCCTCCTCGTTAGGGTACAGCATCACGACGTCAAAAGCAGAAGCAGTGGCAACCGTGGCCTGTTCCCGGCTGAGCGCGAGGGCCTGTATTCTTGCATCGTGCTCAAAACGATGGATAGGGAACTTCCCGGTCCTCAGGTCCCAAATGTTAAGAATCCCTAGGAGGAGGAACGCAGAGAGCAACTGTAAACCCAGTACACACAGGCACAGAATAAGCATGTTTCAGATGTACTCCGTGAAGATGACACGTATGCATATTTGTTTGAATCTATCCCACTTCTTCCTAGCTGTAGAACTTGGGTGTGTCACTCTTCCTCACCAGTGTCTTAACAGTGAAGACAGCAGTATCCACCACACAGGACTACTGGGCAGATCAAGGGAGACCCACCATGAAAAATGTAGATGGCTTCCTCTATGGCTTGTCCATGGAGCCAGCCCTAGCTCCCAGCCTTCCTAGACACCACTCACTCTCTCGCTGAGAAGTCTATTGTCTTCTTTCTTCCTGGCACCACACTTCATCTGCACACTAGGTGCCTTGAATTCGGGCTCTTGCTCTAAGGTACCATCCTGCTCACAGACGTAGAGTTAGGTGTTGCAAGGCTTTCAAATGGCCTGCAGCTGGTAGTCACAAACAGCAACAGGACTCTCCTCCAGGGAAAGGCTTCAACATAATGGTACACACTTTTCTAAGAACTATGATCAAATAGAGGACAGGAAGGTCACAAAAGGCTCCATGGTCCCTGGCATGCACTTTGGTAAACTCTTTCTTCTACCTCAGAGGGAGATAGGCTGCTCTTAGGGCCCAACTCATTAAATAGGAGTTAGTGTCCGACGTCATCCCATCCCCCATCCTGTCCCATCCTCCCTTTCCTGAAGCAGCCTCATATATGAATTCTTCCAAACACTGCTCTGAGTTCATTCTGAGGCATCACTCCATGAGAACTGCCACGCAGAACCTCTGGACACTCCACATCACATGACTCCTCTCGCTGTGGGAAGAGAATGTCCTCCATCCCACAGAGGCAGAACAGTGGAAGCTTTAAGTGTTAGACCACTGCTTCATCACCACCTGTTCCATGAGAGCGCTGAGTTGGGGTGAGATGCTGGGGCTTGGTGAGGACCGGCACACCACCAAACTCGCCCCAGGTTCTGCCTGGCGTGGGAGCTGTTTAACAGTGCACTCTGCGCACGCTTGGAGTGTGTCTACAGATGTGGAGCGTGCACCTTGGAGTGTGTCTACAGATGTGGAGCGTGCACCTTGGAGTGTGTCTACAGATGTGGAGCGTGCACCTTGGAGTGTGTCTACAGATGTGGAGAGTGCACCTTGGAGTGTGTCTACAGATGTGGAGCGTGCACCTTGGAGTGTGTCTACAGAAGTGGAGAGTGCACCATGGAGTGTGTCTACAGACGTGGAGAGTGCACCTTGGAGTGTGTCTACAGACGTGGAGAGTGCACCTTGGAGTGTGTCTACAGATGTGGAGCGTGCACCTTGGAGTGTATCTACAGACGTGGTTTTCATTGTTAGGCAAGGGCTGATTTGGCTAGCATCCTTTTCTCAACAGAACTGGATGCAGTGAACATGTAAACATACCTCAGCACAAACCAGAGCTCCAAGCTGCCTCAGACACTCAGGCAGCCTCTCTCATTGATGGCCACTCTGTCTGGGCGCCTGCCATACTGTCACCATTAATAACCCCTCTTCTTCAGTTACATTCTTATGTGTACAACTAGGCTGTTACCCTCAATGGCACTGGTATCACTGCAGTCTCCTAACACCAGTTCTGGTGTGCAAACATTTAGTGCTCTTCCATTTTCTTGAATTAACTGTCCCTTTCTCACATACAAAGTCCCTCCCTTCCTGTCCCTGGGTTGCCTTTACCACTCTCTCAGAGCTCTAGCTGCGTTTTGATTCTTATAAAAACAAGGAACTGTCTTTCCATCTGTGTATTTTGCTTTGTGTCTTTATTTTATAGGATTCTTGGACTAGCATGGTGACATACACCTGCAGCCTCAGCAACAGGAAGGAGGAGGCAGCAGACCGACAGTTTGAGGTTAGTCTGAGCAACACGGCAAACCCAGGACGAATAATCACTTGCCTCTAAATACATACACACACAAAGTGGATTTCTTGAAGATAGTCTATATACTGTTTGATCTTGTTTTTTAAATACAAGTTAAGACTACTTACATTTTAGATCTATTTTATTTTTAAGTATGTAAGTGTATGTGTGTTTCTGTTGCATGTGTATCACATGAGTGCAGGTGCCCACGAGGCCAGAGGCCTCCAATACCCTGAAGCTGGAGTTGTATGTGGCTGTGAGCTCCCCAGTGGGTATCTGGGGACACTCTGCCAGAGCAGCACTGAGCCCTCTCTCTAGTCCCACTACTTACAGTGTTTATCTTCCCATGGACCTAGGTTTGGTATGTGCTTACTCCATCATGATTCCTCTGCTGGCCTCTAGGCCAAAATTCTCCCTGGAATTACTGAGCAGCTGCTTTAGGATCTTGAGATACATGCTTAGCACACCACAGCCTAGCTTCAAGTGACACTTCTCACCCACACCAAGAACAGGGACTCATAGCCCCCCACCCCCATACCATGGCCATCGCCAGCATCCCCTTCAACATGAGAAACCCAGAAACTTTGCTAACACAGGGTAGCAGCGGGGCAGCTCTGACCGACCACCCACTCAGTGTGCACAAGGTCCTCCTACTCCCGCATCACTAAAGGGGAGAGCTTAGGTGAGGGACAGACAGACAACAGACTAAACGCAGTTCCATCCCAGTACTTCCCAACCTGAGGACTACAGAGACATGAAAAGCGAATCCCTTCTGCTATGAGAATGCTCCATGCTATATCATGAGGTCATAAGAAAGAAGGAGGAGCCAATAAAGTCACACACTGAGCAAGGGCTTGCTGTGCCCTGTGCTGCATCAAGGGTTGTATTAGGACCACGTAGAACAGAGATCCCTTACTGCATGCAGTGGAGTTCTGGGGGCCTCTATAGAGCACCTTACTTGTAGACCTCCCAAGAGTTAACTGTCTACTTGATACAGCCTAGAGTCACCTGAGGAGTTAGGTCTCAACTCAGAAACTATGCAGAGGGCATGATGGGGTGGCGGTGGGGCTGTCTGATGGTTAACTGACACAGGAAGGCCCAGTCCTCGGTGTGCAGCATCATTCCCTGGCAGGTGCTTCTGGGATATGTATGAGTGAGCAAGCAAGCAACTGCCTCCAAGGTTTCTGCTTCAGTGCCCGTCCTGCCCTTCTTCAGTAATGGACTGGGACTGAGAAATGTGACCTAAAGAAACCTTTTCCTCCTCCCTCGGTTGCTTCTGATCAGTGTTTTATTGCAGCAACAGAAAGGAAGCTATAAACTTTGCTGACCTTTCTAGGCACTGAGCTGAGTTGGTCCATGATCACCACATGACTGTTAAGGAAGATGCCAGCAATGAGGGTCAGAACCAGAGCAGTTCAGTCCTCTAACGAGTACACTATCTAAAAGTCGGGCATGGATTTGTCTGAATGACCACATTACAGCCGCAGCAGCAGGGTGGAAGACACCTGAAGAGGCAGGCTGTGTGCTGGGTTTCTGCACTCCCTCTGTGCTGGGTTCGGAAGGAGTATGCCATTAGCAGAACCAGGCCAATGCTGTTGCAGTAACAGACCCCAGTGGAGACGCACAGAATGAAACTGACCAGACAGGCAAGGGCCATTTAACCAGGACAGGACACACAAGGGATCAGAACCAGCAACCTAGAAAACACTGAGGATCAAGGCCACTTGTGCATACCACAGATCTCACCTCCAACCTCTACAACTCTTTCCTCCTCTCTGTCTCCACAATCCAGCTTCCTCCAAGGAGCCAGCTCCATCCCACAAGGGCTTCTACTCCAAGCACAAAACAAAATGTGAACCCTGGTCCCCATCCCTGGTGTGATCAGTGGATGCCAAAAGATGAGTCAGTCCTCTAAGCCTGCCCTCGGCCTGCTGCTTGGAATAGATCTTAGAGTTGGGAGGCACTGAGGTGTTGTCCACCTCCCCCGGCATCTCAGGACAAGGTAGAACAAGAAAATCGCTCAGGAAGGCAAACAGAGGTCCCTAGCAGCTACCTGGTGACTTAGGAATGTGTGGCCACTTCCTGCAGCAGCCTCAGCTCTGAGAGTTGGAGGCTGGGCCCCACAAGAGCGTAACAAAGGGAGCAGGCATCCATCCTGGGCACCTTCACACCCGCAGAGCTCAGCCAGTGCTGGGACTACAGCAGAAATTCGCAAAGGGTGCAGACAAAGGAAGCCCATCTGAGAAGACAGCGAGTGAAGGCCAAAGCCCCCCAAGTAGGCCAGGGCAGGACCTGGCAGCTCCACGGGCTCCCTGCTCGGTCCCCTCCACCTTGATGAGCAGCCAGGCTAGAGGCACTCAGCACTTGCCCTAGACCAGGAAGTCATTAGCAGTGACATGAGTGACGAGGGCCAGGCTTTGGAGGAGACATAAAGGCTACAAAGCAGCTGTGGATGGGCACCCATGCCAGTCTGTAGCACGTCCCTCCACCTCCCAAAGGAGACCAGCCAGAGTGTGGTAATGAAACTGCACATAGTAGAAATGGGATCTAAATGAGTCTAAGCTGATTTATGTTGGCTTTTGTAAAGATTACGCGTATCAGGAAAGTGCTACCACTGTGCGATCGCGATGACAGTCCTGAAGAACTCCGCCTAATGGTGCTTGAGCACAATATTTATATTCCTCGGCATGGGAACAAGGACCATAATGGATACCATTTTTGTTTTATTAGGGATGCATATTTAAATTAATCTGCTATTTGCCTAAACAATTAGTTGCTTCTGTTTGTGTGCACAAAGCCAAAACTGCAATTAGGCTTCCATCAAAAAAATAAGTCCCAACTAAAACTGTCCCGGTGGGGCCATAAGAGCTCAGGGCAGAACTTCCCCAATTACTTCTCAGCACAATGGTAATTACATTAATTGCTTGAAAGGTAAATAACCACTGAACTGGTTTTGGAAACAAACACTGGCGTTGCCCCTCCCCTCTGGTCTGTTCCACGTACCTACGGTCTAAAAGAGGTTACAGTTTAAACAGCCACACACTAGACCCTTCAACTACCACGTCTGCTTGTGATCTCTGTGGAGTCTTCCCTTTGAG